GAAGGTGTATTCACAACATTTCTAACCCTATAAGTGGCAAGTTTATAAAATGTTATTGCTTTTACAATGACTGCTACATTTGAAGACTTGTGATATTCGTTGGCATTTAACTGAAATTGTGTATATTGTGTATTCCAGGCATTGTGTGTATGTAATTTGGCACTCAGAACACATATTTGTGATAGTAGTTTCCAAATAAGTATCGACGTTCCCTCTGAAGATGATCCGTAAGGATCGAAACATGTAAGGGTGCTGAGTTTTCAAGAGGTCAAACTTAGTCACAGTGGACGGGGTTGTTTTATCTTTGAAATTGACAGTAAAGAAATATTTGGCAGAAAATTTTCCCCTGCGTTTGAAGTTCTAAGGGAGTTTATTTACAAATTAATTCTATAGAATATGTGAATTGGAATTGTAGGAACTGCAGCTGGAACTCCGAGAACAAAATATATAATTAATCGTAACATAAACATGAACTCCCAACATTTAAATTGGCAAAATGTAAGTAGCTTCATATCCTGAAATGCATTAGCGTGTTCTGACAGAGAAATAAACCGAATTATTCTGTAACATTCATGAATTCATTAACTCATAATATTTGCGTGGCCATTTTGAAGGCAATGCTGCGGGCCATCTGATTTTATGAGCTCATCCCAACTTCTCTACTGTGTCTAAACACATCGATGGAAATAATTTTCATGAAGTGCTGTAAACGTTTTGATGACTGTGCTATATGCACATCACGGTTTAACGTTAGAAAACGCAACATTTTTTTTTTTTGGAAGAGATCAATTTTGAAATTGCAACTTTCTCAAAATCAAAAGAGATTTTCCCCCCAAACATCACTTATCGAATTACCTTTGTGATGGTGATATGTATTCTGTGATAATTTAATTTAAATTAATAATTTAATTTAAAATTAGATCCTTCGCTTAGGTGAAAATGTTATTAGCAGTCCTATACTTCTTAAGGTAAATGTTCCAACCGTAATTATAAGTTTTTGCCTTACCTCTCAGAAAAGAAACTTAATTCCTGGACAGTCTCTCTTCGTTACAGGCAATACAGCGCTATCGCTGATTTACATAAGACACTTCACCGTTGCACACACATTTACACCAGGGTTCTCAGTCTTCACTAGTCGTATCCTGGCAACGGACTTACGAAAACAGTCTCGCTGTGACGAAATCTCCTAATCTCACACTGAGTCTACACAGGCTGACTTTTGACTCTTCTTCAATTCCCTTAATGCTCTCGCTCTAGTCCGTCTGTCTCTAGTCATAGTCCAAGTTAAAGTCACATTGTGACTGACGGTCAGTCAATATGTCTCGGTGTCAAGCGCCATCAGAGGCTCATGACCAGATATTTACGGTCTTCTTTTTATGGGGCAACCTCTCTGGCGACAGGACGGGTCTGTCTTTTGTCAGAGCCACTGTCTGCAGTAGTAAGTCATTTTTCATAATGCAAAAGATATTTGCAATTTACTTGTTAAACATTTTAAAAATGTATAAACAATATATACATGGCCTTTGTCAGTCCAGGCTCAGTACAGCAGACTTTGCCCTCAGCGGTGGTACATATACCATAATCGGAACTCACGACCAAAATCAACTGACGGTCAGTCAGTCAATAAGTCTTGGTGTCGAGCCCCAGCTGTAGTTCATGACCAGATATTTATTACTATTCGACAGTTTTGGTCTTGCGTTTTGTGGCAGCGCAGTCTTTCTCGGGTCCGAGTCCCTTGAGACTCGCGACCATACTATTTTGCTGTCTCAGATTTGAGACTTCCCTTTTCGTCGCCTCCTTCGACTCGCAGGGTCACGGTGGAGGTATTCGACCCCTCCTCCACACGGGCGAACTTCACTGTTACTCCGGGGGCTGCTATATTTCAACTAACTCGATCTCTCTCTACAAATCCAAGTACAAGTCGCATTGCAACTGACGGTCAGTCAGTCAGTAAGTCTTGGTGTCGAGCCCCATGACCAGATACGTGTATTTATAACTGTTTGACATTTACGGTCTTGTTTTTGTGGGGCGCCCTCTCTGACGAGAGGACGGGTCTGCCTTTTATATATGCTGCTGGCCTTTGCCAGTGTAGTCTTTCTCGTGTCTGAGTCTCTTGGGACTCGCGACAATATTTTGCTGTCTCAGATTTGAGACTTCCATTTTCGTCGCCTCCTACGACTGGCAGGGTGACGGTGGAGGTATTCGACCCCGCCTCCACACGGGGAGGCTGTCGAATTGTTCGATCTATCTCTCTACAGTTCACACTCTCGTTATAATAGCCGCGGCACGGACCGTGTAGAAAACATTTTCTATTCTTTTGGAGACGTAGTACGACACAATTGCCTACCAACCAGCCTCGGCGCGTATTGTTATAGTAACGGACTTACTACTGCTACATGCTGGGCCGTGTTTACGGACTCGTTGCGTAGTAATGATCACATTCATTTCTGCTATTGTTCCGGTTTTCTAGGCAGTATCTACATGGCCGTTGCCTATAAACGGCACATATGTCACAATATTTTATTAACATAATTCTATAAACAATACTGAATTCTGCGGGACTGAATTATTATTTTTAACAGCTCACTTAGTCAAACATCAAGGCCCACGAATGGGAAGTGTCTCACTGGTTGAGACTCACTGTTCTAGGCGACGCGCAGGTAAATATTTCTATATCTCTGCTTCAATGAAAAATGTCAGCCACAGACACTGATGGAACTCGAGACCCTCAAGTCTGCTCTCTACTGCTGAAATATGAAGATGGGAGATTATTATAAATTCCACCACCCACCCACCCCCCTCTCCGAGCAGGATTACAGCCATGTAAGTCTATGCAGTTAGGTTCGGCAAGGGGCGTTACGCAAAACGTAGGAATGCACGGTATTGCATTTTCAGGAAACTCTGAGACATACCTGCTTCGAACTCGATATTATGTGTTTCCAAAACAAAACCACGCTTGTCTTCAAGATGTAACGCAAACTTGGTAAAGAAATTTTACGAAAGGCCACAAAAATTTTGTTTTTGGAAAACTCAACAATCTAGCATAACACAAGAAATATAACTTAGATGTAAAACTGTTTATTTCCGGCATTAATCCCCAAATTAGAGAATTTCATGTTATTTTCCAAGAAGTTCCTCCATCCCACTTCACTCCCAGCTCCAGGTAACTTTATGTGTTGAAACGTGCCACCTGAGAGGTGCTCTTTGGCAGTGGGCAACAATGTGACTCTGTAACGGGATCAGTATCATGGCTGGATTGAGCTAGCGGTGTTTAGATGTTGATACGAACTGCTGATATTAAATGAGCATTTTAACCCTTTCAGAAACCTCACTCCATATCTGTACTAGCCGGAATATTTAAGAATACGGAGAAAAATAGGAAAACAACAAGTTCTGGGAAGAACAAATCGCCAATTTTTCTTTAATATGACACAGATCGCATAGAAAACGACGCCTCCAACAGTTCTTCGTTGCTGCCGGAACATGTTTACTATGCCGTTGCGTAGCAACGATAGAGGGATATACAGATCGAACGATTTTCCTTTGACACGACATGGACCATACAAAAACCGATGCGTTCAACAATTCTTCTGTTGTTTCTTTTTTTTTTTTGCTGCGGAAACGTGTTTACTGATCCTTAGCAGCGATATACATACTGTGACATGTTGACCCCTACCTCCCTAGCGGCACGTAGAGTTCGCGTAATAGGCGAGTCATCACCCCGCCACTCTCCCCGCGGTGACGTCACGAGCTGAGCCGAAGTTAGCAGAGTCCCTGCAACCTTGAAGCTATGCAACGCGAGTCAACAGCGGTGACGTCACCAAGGGGTAACAGCGTTGCTAGGCTATACGCCACGTCACAACTAGCAACAGCGAACGGAATAAAAGCCGGCTGAGCAGCAAGCGAGGGTCAGTGCGTTATCAACGAGTTCTCAGTTCTCAAGGTAGCAGCCTGCGAGTGTGCGATAACTAAGAAGTCAGCGAGCGGAAGACTTGTTGTGTGCTTTCGAGACTTAGTGAGTGCTGTAGTACAGTTATACTTGGAGTGTGTAATTCAGGGAGACTTGTATAGCTCCCGCGGTATTAAAATGTGTAACTACTGAAGGCAGAGTGAACTGATTTGCGTTTAGGGTTATAAAGTGTGAAACCCCGCAACTGTATAATAATTAATTGTAGCCGATATTTGTAGATTGTTCAATAAACCAATTAACCATCTCTACGGCGTCTTCAGTAACGAAACACGTTACAATACAAACACACAGACCGATGAGAGGGATTTATGAAGTACGCCGTTGAGATGGGCTCAGGTGCCATGATATACATACCAAGTTTCATAGGATTCGTTCAGGTATTCGAAGGTTGATGGTGATGGGGGAGGGGTACACAGACAGCAAGGTGATTACATAAGCTTACTTTTAGTTTGTCAAAATAAAGAAAGCAGAGGAAGTGAAGGAGGAGATGAAGACTCAAGAAAAGTAAACAAAGAAAACGAAAATAGAGGAATGAAAGGAAATGCAGAAGAGAGAGGAAAGAAGAAGCGAGGCGTTTCGAGGACCGGTAGTAATCTAGAACTGACGGAAGTACATGGAACTCCTGACCTGGTACCGGATATTAAATCAAAAGTTTCCAGTTGCTGAAACATGTGATTAAATCGGATAAAACAAAAGTGACTGAACTATTTTCTGATAAGCCAGAATTTTGACGACGAGTAGGACAGTACAGAGACTGAGACAGCTGGGAGATGCACAAGATGATTTTAGAGAGCTGAACGCGAAGAGGTGGTGCCAAGAGGCAACTAACAGACATGAATGGACTTCTGTTGTAAAGAAGGTTGCGGTGTCGGCAGGACATTAAGAGCCAGGGAGTAAGATCTTAAGAGTTTCACTGCAATGTTTACGATGTATCTGAGTGACAATCAGCGTTAGCAGCTGGTGAAAGGATGAGCTAGCGTGTTAGCTGCTGGTTCCAACAAAGTTGTATGGAGTTATGAGTGCGACATACCTTCCTCTCCGTAAGTAACATTGTACTCCTGTCTGCAAGTACAGTTGATATTTGAAGTTATATTCTGGAATAGGCTGTCCTCAGCACAGTTCATGGCTGCTTGTGTGCAGAATGTGATGTATGCTCCGTCAAGACCTGTAACAATTTTATAAAATGTAATTAATGGGTTCAATACCGTTTAGTGATCTAAGAATTAAATTATATACATTTGTTTATTTCTAGCTTCACAGAGAACAGAATGTGTTACATGAAATCGTATTAGGATAATATTGTAGCTTATATAACCGTTGTTATGAAACGACTGTGAGATTGGCGGATATATCAGGGCCGTTTCTGGGCAACGGTCCTGTAAACATGTTCTTACTACAACGGATACGCATGCAACAGAGGAACGATATTTTCTACGTGGTCCGTACTGAGATGTTATAAGCAAGGGACAAGGTTAGAGTTTAGTTAGTTCTGTGCGAGAGTCTCTGAAGACAGAACTTGAGCCCGGAGACAGAGGAGTAGCTATAGTTCGGAGCCGTTACAAGGAAACGTCATGTAACAGGCTGAGAACACGAGACTGTGTGTTCTAATGATTTGTAAAGCGTGGAAATAGCTGTAGTGCTGTAGGTATTTGTATTTAAGAACTGTAAGTAGGCAAAAAATCCATTCATCAATCCAAACATCTTCTATAGTCACACATACTACATGACAATATTCTGTGAGTGTTTAATGAGGCTTTCAGTATCGTGACTTCATAGCATCTGAAGGTGGGATGATTAATGAAATGGAAGGGATATAGAAGGAAACAGTCCTAGTCCAGGTGAGACACTACCTCGACATTTTCCTGATTGGATTCAGGGAAATAAAAAGTATGACTGTATAAGGGGTGGACCTTCTTGGCCCTTGCACCGCGACCACAGTGATCTGTTGTGCCTAAAATAAAAAGTAACTTCGGATAAGATACTCAGTGTCCCTGCACGAGATTCCAACCAAGCACTTCGTAAATAGAAGACTACAGAGCTATTTATAGAAGATCCTATTCTGTCACAACTGTAAGTATGTAGAGGCGTAGGATTGGTGCCTATGCTACGCCCTGGGAACGCTTATTCTGATACAGGTATATTGGAGGATTGGATCAGTTCATCCAGAAATATAGCTAGCTTATCTCAAAGAACAGTTGGGATCCGATATCTTCCACCCCTTTGATCTTAATTTCCCCAAGGTATCAGGGATGGATACAGTAAAACAGGGAATATTCCACCACCACATAAAAATGGACTTCTGTAATTTTTGGGCATCCATTAAAATAAAACACTCTCTTCTAACATCATGCCGAAATATGGCCCTTCTGTGAGTGTTCGTATAGTCACAATAAGGCTCCAAAATTCGCAGATCACTCGCATGATATGAGGACTTTTTTATTGCTAGTGGGGTGGGACTAAGTCCCTTGTACTGTGGCCACTTCTGGCCTATTGTACCAGCCCCAGATGATAGGTGAGGGTGATTGTGGAGCAATTGGTGGAATTAAGATTGGCAGGGGAAACCGAAGTACTCGGAGAAAACCCGCCCCAGCGCCAATTTGTCCACCACAAATCCCACTTGACCAGACACGGGATCGAATCCGAGCAGCCGCAGTGGGAAGCCAGCGACTAACCGCTTGAGCTATGGCGCGGCCTTACACACAACGTAACTATGGCCTTAATACAGACATTTTAACACTGAAGATTACTGCACTATATTCATTCGAAACGTCATGATCCGCTTACCAAAAGACTAGAGGTGCCACAACCTACAATACAAAAATAAGTTGAATGTCTACCACATACACTGAAGAGTATTGTCTGGGATATAACACCATGCATGTTTCCACACTGTTATTTTTCTCGGATTATTCGACCCTGAAGATGAAGGCCGTATGTTCCTCCGAAACGTCTGTTGACTTTCAATGGATTATACGGCGTTATATTCCAAAAGACACTACTCTTCTAACACCATGTAGTCTGACAGAAGTTTACGTTTCGAATGAATGTACTGCCTTCATCTTCAGGGTTTAAGAATAATGCCACCTAGCAACTAGCAGGCTTGCTGCTTCATTCTTGCTTGTTGTTTGTGTGATTTATCTTCGACCCTGAAGATGGAGGTAGTATATTCCTGAGAAACTTAAACCGGACTTCTTAGTGTCACACCCAAGGAGATAATACTCTCAAGTTTGTGTTTCCGTCATGTTGTTCGAATTGACTCTAATTCGGACATCTGACGCCGGCCACTTGAAACTGTTCATCCTCCCATTCCATTAGAGATCTGAAGATGGAAGCGAGGAAACCTGAGGTCATTTGATTCAGTTCAGACTTTGTACGTACATTCCTTCTTGCCTCTAACGAATGACATGACTTCCGCACACCAGACGAAGCTTCACGCGTTCTGCCTCACACGGAGGCCGTTAAGATGCCTAGAACTTCCCCGTCAGCACAGCTGCTGTCCCAACTTACACCTTCCATAGAAATAGCAGCTTATTTAATTGTGAAAAGTTCTGAACATACGCAACTCTCTTCATTTCGAAGTTCAGTATGTGCGCACGTTAAATTGTTATAAACTGGCGCATATATTGGACGTTTTTATTGATTGAAACATCCACCGTTACGGAACATTGGTCTGCTTCCGTTATCAGGTAAAAGTGTGGAACCCACTCTGTTTGGTCCACTAGGTAGACCGGTTCCATGTCATCGAGTGAGGAGATACCGAAAAATGTTCAACATATGTATGAATTTAACAAGCTTTCAGAAACGCTTAAATTTAATTTTCTAGCATACTAAATCATTCGTGGTGACAAAAGAGGCCGCTCGGGATAAGGCATAAAATATCTTTACCCACTGAAACGCTGGGATCGTGAGTTCTAATCCAACTCAAGGCATGAATGTCTGTCCGCATTTAGTCTGAGTTTGTGTCGTCCTGTGTAGAAAACGGCCTTGTGACATGGCTGATCCCCCGTCCAAGTAGTCCTACTATCTATAAGGTACTTGGTTGAGGCACTATGCTACAAGCCGGAATGTCGCGGATCGAATCCCGATGAGGTCATTTGATTTTTTTTAATTGACCTAATCCTTCCAGCCGCACTATGGACTTGGGGTCTACTCAGCCTCTTACAGAAATGAGTACCAGGAATATTCTTGGGGGTAAAGGGCGGCCGGCGCGTAAGGCTGACAACATCACACCCAGCTTTACTTTACTTACTTTTACTCAGTTCGAGATTAATTCTGATGGGAAAAGCTCAGAGAGCCTAATCCAAAAAGCAGAAGGAGAAGGGGGAAGAGGGAAATAGAAGAAGAAGGAGAAATCGTTCGTGTTTATATGCCTATGCAGTACGCCCCACATTCGTGTTTATATGCCTATGCAGTACGGCCCACGTTCGTGTTTATATGCCTATGCAGTACGGCCCACGTTCGTGTTTATATGCCTATGCAGTACGGCCCACGTTCGTGTTTATATGCCTATGCAGTACGGCCCACGTTTGTGTTTATATGCCTATGCAGTACGGCCCACGTTCGTGTCTATATGCCTAAGCAGTACGCCCCACGTTCGTGTTTATATTGTCGCGTATCGGGCTTATATCGCGACAAATAAATTCTCGATGTATTCGATGTAGCGAAGTTTATTTCACATTCGCTCTTACAATTACCCAAATTACAATCTGACGATTACTGCTATCTGCAGTATCACAAATAGTACACTCCCAATGCCACAATACAACTGACTGGTTGCTGGCTAACTCGACGATAGGTCCAGGACTCGCTGACTGACTCAGTACAACGCTGCGGTAGCCACACTAGAACTGACTGTGAATAGCCTTCGCTGCTCCGTATGTAGCCTCGATCGGACAGTACGGGAAAACGGCCACGTAATAGGCACCCTTTTTGCCTGGCGCTGTGTTGCTATGTAACGCTAGCGGAGGTAACCGCTGTTACTATCGTAACGTCGCCGCTGTTGACTCGCGTTGCCTAGCGACCGCGATATCCCTCGGTGACGTCACCGCGGAGGGGAGTGGCGGGGCGGGAACTCGCCTATTACCGTAAGAACGCGAGCGTTACGTTACCGCCACGTACCGCTGGGGAGGTAGGGGTCAACATGTCACAATAAGGATCGTGAATTATCTTCATCTTTTCTTCTATGCGGAATGAACCAACCTGGAATGCGAATTCGATTTGCAGAAAAAAAGAAAAAAAAATCGAAATAATTAGTTTATTATTTATAATACATATCTAATTCTTTTTTACTAGAAAGCCGTCTAGAGACATTTGTTTTTGCCGACGCTTCAAAATTTGGTGAAAATG